CCCGAGGCCCCGCGTTCCCGCCTAGCCGTCGCCCGCCTCGCGCTCGGGGTCCAGCGGGCGGAAGGGGCTCGGCCGGTGGGAGGAGCGCAAGGAGGGGGGCGGCGGGTGGCGCCTCGCGAAGGCGCCGAAGTACTCCGCGGCGTAGGTGATCGCGTCGGCCGGCTGGCGCAGCAGCAGGAACAGGAGGAAGTCGGAGACCAGCGCTTGGGCCTCGGGGTGCTGCCGCAGGTAGCTGGTGTGGCTGAGACGGAGCTCCTCCTGCAGGGGAGGGCCGTGAGCCCGGGCCGGCCGGACCCCGCGCCGGGAACACCGCCCCCTCCGCACCCCAGAACGCCCCTCTGCTTCCCTCGCTGGAGGGCTTGGGGGCGCGAAAGGGGTGCTCGAGGGTGTGCGTTGCATCAAGCACAGAAGTCAGTAATGCTGCCATTTATGGGGGGCGGGGGGATGGGGGCCCCTGCTGGAGTCCCTCCTCACCTTCCGCTCCAAGAATTTCGAGTAGAGTTCAGTGTCCTCTTCCCACACCAAGGACTTTTTCCCAAATACCGGGGGAGGCGCAATCTCGTCTGGATGGGGAAAGGGGGAAGGAGAGAGGCAGGCTACTGACCCCAAAACCAGGGTCTTTGGGGATGCACAACCCGATGCCCAAGAACACTCAAACTGCAGGGTCTGTCCCACCTGGCAGGGTTGCAGAAGGGCTCCCAGCAAAATGACCCACCCTAATTCCCTTGGGGCCGGAGGCCAGAATTTCTCCATCTGATCTCAGACTGGGATCCCACTCATACCACAGTGAACAAGGCCTGCCCCCTGCCGGCCTCTTGGGGTCACCCCCTCCACCTCATTCTCCCGACACCCAGAAGCTTCACTCACCTTCCTCCCTCAAGACTGGGACCTTGGTGATCATGCAGCACACAGGGGAGCCCACCTGGACTCTCTTGGCCAGGTGCCTAAGCAACCCAGAAGCACGTGTGAGAGGGGGTGTCTTCGCAGCCCAGCCTACTCCCTGCAGGGCCTCTAGGGGCTCCCTGGACTGTTGCCCCCTCCCTCTCTCGTTGTTGACTGTCCTGCCGGTGTCCACTTCTGGGTCTCCAGATAATGCCCCTGCTCTTCAAACTGGACACTGTTAGTACCCCTAACAATGCTTGCGGGGGCTGAACCCCACCTTCCAGCGTCAAGCCTAGCAGGTCCTGGAGCAGCCTGCTCTGGGATGCACAAAATAAAAGCATCGTTCTACCTCAGGGAAACCAGCATTCTGATTCTCTTCCAGTGGAGTGGAATCACCTCTGGAAATTTCAAATTCTTCACACCCTCCCCTCGCTTTCTTATTATTTGGTGCCTGCACTTTGCTGGGGACAGCTTGGCAGTGCGCCAGGAGGCTTCTTCCAGAACACTGACTTATGCAGTGTACAGTGGTTTCCACTTCTCACCCGCTCCCTGTGGCAGCAGCTTGAGCCCTGCCTGGGCTGTGGAGGACACAGCCACCTCGCCACCCAGAGCTCTCAGCAAGGCCCTGTGCGGGTCAGAATGAGCAGAGAAATGAGGAAAGAGTGAAAGATGTAGCTAGACAAGGGGGCGCTCGGAAAGGCAGCAGTTCGTCCCAGGGGTGTCCTGGGCAATAGGGCTCCTCCTTTGCCCCATTGTGTGCCATCGTCGGGCCTGGTTGCCGGTGCTCCCTGGCCCCACGGTCAGCAGCTCACCCGTCGGAGAGCAGGTAGAACTGGCAGGACATGGGGATGCCCTCCTGTGAGTGCACGTTGTGCTCCACGATGAACACTTCCACCTGCTGATGGCCCACCTGGAGGGTCTGCCTGCCCAGGGCTTGCTGGCAGCAGTGCAAATGGAGGAGGAGGGTGAGGTGGATGCCTAGCAAGGCCACCCCCGACTCTTCTCCTTTTCTCCACCATGTAGCTTCCTTCCTTGCACACCAGTGATAAGCAGCCCTCAGCTCACAGATTTTGTTGCACCCTGGAGTTTACTGGAAGTTCCCCTCCTAGAGACAGGCCGTCCTGTTGCACCCACCCCTCCCCTGTGCCCGCAGGGCAGATTATCTTACAGGGATGAGGCTCTGTGAGGTGTGAGTGTGGTGGCTGAGGAGGGACCCTGAGGCTCCCGGGAGTGGGACTAAGCCTGGTGTGTCGCCAGCTCAGGCTGTGAAGCTGCTGGCAGCGGGCTGTTGTCTAAAACTTAAGCCCCAGTGGGGAAAAAGTGCTAATGTAAAGTGTGTGCTTTGGAGAAAACAAGGGAATGCAGGTCTCTCGTCAAACACGTTGCTGTTAGTGACAGGAAAGGCTAGAATGTCGTTGACACGACTGGTTAAATTGGCAAAATTGCATGTGTTCAGAAGTGTACTGTTAAGATCACACAGTGCATGAAGTGCTACATATGTCGATTATGAAATTTTAGCTGAAAAAATAAAATCCTTCAGGATTGAGACATGACATAAAAAAGAAATGAAGTGTAGTTAGAGATGCTGCATTTTGTGATGTTAAAAATATGTATGGGGGGCCTTCCCTGGTGGTGTATGGGTTAAAGCGCAGCACTAAGTAGTTAAGGCCACTTCCACGTGAGTTCCATCCCCGCCTGCCCCAGAGGTGACCACATGGCGCGGCAGACCTCTCCTGACCCGCCCACTGCTCCCCTCAGCAGTGGACTTCGTCCATCTGCTGGTTCTGCTCCCCACTCTGTCTCTGGTGAATCCTTTCAC